AAAAAAGAAGAAAGTAATATTATGATCGATCATGAGTCATGATCATACCGCCCGCAGGTATGATCAGGCCGCCCACAGATGGCGCCACTCACCTGTGAGCTGACGTCGCCGGGGAGACTGAGGCTGCTTCGCTCATCCAGCTCAGCATCACTCTGCGTGCTCTCCTCCTCCTCATCCTCATCCTCCTCATCCTCGTCAAACTGCGCCTGCGAGAGGCTGTGGCTGGCTTCATCCGCTGCGATGGTGGGGGAGGGGGAGACAGATGAGTCAACGTAGTTGTTGTTGTTTTTGTTTTTGTTGTTGTTATTGTTATAATTATTGTGTGGCAATGTACAATACACAATATGCAATGTACAATATGTAATGTACAATATACAATACACAATGTACAACACACAATGTAGTATACATCATGTACCATACATAGTATACAACAAGCAATACACAATGTACAATACATAATGTAGTATACATCATGTACCATACATAGTATACAACAAGCAATACACAATGTACGATACACAATTTCCAATACAAAATGTACAATACACAATGTACAATAAACAATCCACAATACAAGTACAATGTACAATGTACAATAAGGCAGCGTACAATACAACGTTTCATGGAATTGCTCGTGGCATATCTCACCTGCTGTACTCTCGTCTATCTCCTGTATGGGGCCGAGTCCCTGAGCTTCACTCTCACTCACCACGAGGCTGTGGAAGACCAGCTGCTGCTGCTCCGGGGGAAGCACCGCTCGCAGCTTCTTCCTGTGGATGCAGAGATAGAGGATAGCAGCGGGGTTAGGCGAGCTTCATAGAAGCCTGACGTTTATTAATGAAGTCTTTCCGCAGCGAACCTTGAGCCTTCTTTATCTCTGTCTTTCTCTCTCTCTCACGTGCGTGCTCTCGTGCTCTCGCTCTCTCTCTCTCCCTCTCCGTCTCTCTCCGTTCCTCTCCCTCTCTTTCTCTCTCTCTTGCTCCCTCTGTTTCTCTATCTATCTCTCTCTCTCTTTAATATTTTACCATTTACCTTTGTCCCCCTCTCCTCCTCCCCAGTCCCCCTCCATCTTCCGCAGGGCCTGCAGGGCTTCCTCTTACGTGTCTGTGAGCGTGGACCTCGGTCGCAGGGTGTCTCCCCCCCTTCCCCTCCATCCTCCTTCTCCTCCTCCCCCTCCCCTCCATCCTCCCTCCCCTCTCCCCCTCACCTGTACTCTCCCCCCATCTTGACCAGCGCTTGCAGGGCTTCCTCGTACGTGTCTGCGAGATTAATTAAACAATTAATTAATAACATTTTTCACAGTGAGAGAATTCAGCTGCCTTGGCGGAGGTCTGCGCTCTCCGAGTGCTCTAGTGTTATATGTTATCAGGAGTGAATAATAATAGAATATAATAGACTATAATAATATATTGAATATATAAACAAAATGGAAAGAATATATAATAAAGAATATATAAAGAATATAATAATAATCTATTATTATTCACTACTGATGATATTGATCATATAGTTAACTATCCTGACGCCTACGGTGTCACGAATGTTGCACGCGAGATGTCGCGCAACATTCTAGACTGCCAACAATCATGACTATTCATGGTGTTACTAACATCGGGGCATGACGGCGTAGACAGTCTAACCCAGTCTATTACAGTGTAGTCCAGTAACACGGTAATCAAGGCTGAGAGGGTCTATGTCCCCCAGGGTACTGCCGGAACGTACCCTGGTACTATCTCATATGCCGGACCATACCTCGCCTACTCCACTAACGAGTCTAGGGAGTCGCCTACGCCTACTCCACTAACGAGTCTAGGGAGTCACCTACGCCTACTCCACTAACGAGTCTAGGGAGTCGCCTACGCCTACTCCCTAACCCTATCCCGAACCCTAATCCTAACCATATCAAATAGTTACCAGGGTACGTTCCGGTATACCAGACCGTACCCAGGGTACGTTCCGGCAGTACCCTGGGGGTCATAGACCCTATGAGCGTAATCAAGTCGTAAGCCAATAATATTGTTATAATAATTACAATTATATTACGTTAAGTTATATTATAACGCAGTATATAATCAAACGTTGGAACCATACTACGAAACCCTGAGAAATACTTACGACCTCCTCCACTACCCCTCTTCACACAACTGACCTGTTCTCCCCCATATCCTCCTCCCCACAGGAATGTTAATGGTGCCTGGAGACTTGATGGCGGGGACGACGACGATGCAATGCCGCTCGCAGTACCCCCTGCAGGAGGACGCGGGAACTATCTTCGCCGAGCAGCCCCACTATCGCAAGCAGTTCTCCTACCTGCTCATTGGAACAGGTAAGAGGTCAAAGGTCACGTGGCGACCGGGGCGCACTCTACGTAAACGCGTGCGCGTTCAAAGCTTATAACTTTATATTTAATTATAGGATATATAAAGATTTCAGTTTCGGAATCAATAAATATAGAATCGAGACTCGAGATGCGGTCGTCATGGCGACTGGTCTCGCAGTGCACAAAGCTTTTTCGCCGGCAGCAGGCGTAGAGATCAATTCTCGGGTGTTCATTTTTTCTCGTAAAAATTTTGCGCAGGAATTTTGTCCCAGGAGCAACTCTTGATGTATATAGTATATATATATATATATACATAAATATATATATTTATATACATACATATCAAGAGTAGATAATAAACTTAGTTTATTATCTACTCTTGATACATATTATATATATTATACATATATATATCACATCCTTCTATCACATCCTCTATAAGATTGTCTCATCTCTCTCTCTCTCTCTCTCTTTGCGCGCAGGTGTCGTTGCCGTGGCGACGGGCCTCGGCATGACGTGGGCGATGCACAAGTACCTGTCGTTCTCGAGCGGCCCCGTCATCCTGCTCGTCGGATGCGTTGCCATGGTAGTCGGCATCGTCCTGCTGAAGCGGCACAGCTTCGGCGTCGACGACAACTGCGCAGCAGACGACGACGCGGAAGCCGCCACGGGGGGGCGCCGCTTGCACACACTGCGCTACGCGCGACATCGCAACGAGGTCGTCGTCGTCGACTTCGCCGTTCCCGCCGCCGCGACGGTGGCGCCCCCGCGGTATTCGGCGTTGTTCGACGGGGGCGATGCGTGGCGCCACCAGGGGGCGTGCGCGTGCGCTGAGCGCGGGCGCTGCCGCTGCGAGGAGATGGAGAGTTTCGTCGCCGATGCGGAAGACAGTGGACAGGGGGCGCCACCAGACACGCGTCCGCCGCCGTACGAGAGCGTCGTTCGTGCGGAGCAGTGACGAGATTGCGACGGTGACCACACGAGGGCGCCACCTGCCTCGTGCACTCCTCCCACCGGTGCAGCACGCCACTTATGCTCGCAGCAATACTCCCGTGTGCAAGACTGCGCCACGAACAACCCGGGGACTCCTATAGATGGAGCCACAGGTCCTGCGCGCTTCCACGCAGGGGCTGTTATAGATGGAGCCACCAGTCCCGCGCGCTCCCACGCAGGGCGCGTGCCGTCTGCTAACCTCAGCCGCACAGAAACGCGGTTCCAGAGTGCAATATGAACGTACGTTGTACATATTGGTGTGTGTGTGTGTGTGTGTGTGTGTGTGTGTGTAAAAATACATGTATTAAACTGTATGTAAGTGTGTGTAACTGTATCATGTCGGTGAAAAGATAGGAAGTGTAAATATCATCGTATACGTAGAGATATAAATGTACAGACGTAAAAATACGTGCGTGTAAATACGTGCCGCATGGCCCAGTCGAACGCGCGGTGAAAGACGAAGCGTGCGTGCGTCGGCATGGCAACCGCGTGTTGCGGTCGTCATGGTTACTTGCGCGCGGGGTTACGTCCGAGTAACAGTCGGTAGCAGCTGGTAGCATATGATCTTCACCAGCCGCTCACGATCTTCTCTCTCGTGTTAGTCAAACACCACTGCCAACAACTGCATGACCTGTTACTACGTCGCACGCGTACACGCGACTTCTTTATTTTGCTAATAAAATTGGATCTTTTAAAAAAAAAAGACACTGTCGTCTTTTTGGTACAATAGAACGTCGTGCGCGACCTCTGATGACCTCACGCGACCTTGCATATCCCAACCAACCCGGCGCGACGTTTCCGTTTCCCCGCTCATGCGCAGGACAGCGAAACACGTAACAGTAGAAATACAGTAGATGCTGCACATGTATGATACAGAACATGTATACTATTAACGGGGGCTTAGAGATACAGAGCGAGAAAGAGTGAGAGCGTGAGAGAGAGAGAGAGAGAGAGAGAGAGAGAGAGAGAGAGAGAGAGAGAGACGTACGTAGTAAGCATAACAAGACCAGCAGCAGCAACCACTATACAGATGGCAATAATAAGTGGATAATAAGTGGATAATTACACACACATGTATACACACACACACACACGCGCGCGCGCGTAGTGTAATGAACAGCCTTAGATGTAATCTACAGACTTCTCCGCATTGTTCTGCCATTATTCACCCGTGACGTCATCCACACATTCTACACAGCAGCGCGCATGCGCAATCAGCGGAAGGAATGTGATCACTGAGCTAGCTCACTGGCTGTGGATAAATGACCAGAGAAGGAAGAGGGGAAGAGGAGGAAGGGGAAGGGAAGAGAAGGAAGGGAAAGGGAGGAAAAGAAGAGAGGGAAGAGAAGGAAAGGGGTCGACTCGAAAGCCTAGTGCTACTTTGACCCGCACAGCACTCATTTGTTAGTAAGTTCACTATTCTTTTTTATTTATACTCGTTATTTTATTTATACACATTATACCTATCATACACCTGCTGTATTACCACCAAGTTATGTGCTAAATAAAGAATCTGAAGAATGAAGGGGAGAGGAGGAAGGGAAGGGAAGGAGGGGGAGAGAAAGAAGGGAAGGGAAGGAGGGGAAGAGAAGGAAGAAGCTCACGTCTCCGAAGCTGGAAAATACAGGACGAGTGCTCCACGGGCACTTGGAACGTCTCAATAAAAAAAGGCAAATAACCACGAAATGTATTTACTACCAATTAGCCTTAATGTTTCTCTACTCTATTTCGCTTATTATTGCTGATAATTTCCTGTAAATGCCGTTCAAATGCTCCTCTACAACACACAAGTACACCGCATGCACACAAAAAACAAGAATAATAGTTTAAAAAAAAACAAAAAACAAGAACAAGAACAAAAACTATTATTCTTGTTGTTTGTGCACAGGGCGTGCGTGCGGTGTGCTTGTGTGTTGTAGCGGCATTTACAGCAAGTTATCGACAATAATAGGCGAAGGAGAGTAGAGAAACATTATAAGACTGGTAGTAAATACATTTCGTGTTTACTTGCCTTTTTTTATTGAGACGTTCAAAGTGCCCGTGGAGTGTTCAGTACGTGTATGCACAGGAACGCCGGCCCGTTTCAATCATAAATTCATGGAAACACTAACCCTAACCCTAACAGTAACACTAACCCTAACCGTAACCGTAACAGTAACCCTAACCGTAACAGTAACACTAACCCTAACCGTAACCCTAACAGTAACCGTAACACTAACCCTAACCCTAACCCTAACCGTAACTCTAACCCTAATTCTAAAACCGCCCTTGGCTGCGACCCACTGCTAACTGAACTGTTTCATGGGCGTACTCTCTGCTACACAGTTAGCACTCACTCCACTAGTCTGCCCATTACCGCCCATAGGTGGCAGCACTATATGCTGACATACCACAGCTGCTCTGAGTAGTTTTCATCCACAGGTAAACGCAAGGCTGTGAATACAGAATACGATGTACATTGACGAGTAAAGATGAAAGAGAATTGACTAGGACAGTAGTTCTTAACCTTTTTTGAGTCATGTGGACCCCTTTGAGTTTCTGATGAAAGCTACGGACCCCTCCACAGAAAACCGCACATGAATTTTCAATGTATTGTTCGTAATTGTTTTTAACAATAAACACAAAATTATGCGCCTGGTTTACGGACCGGACCGCCTGAAGCCCATCCACGGACACAAAAGGAGCTTGCAGTGCTGGAGAGTAGTAAATGTAACAACACTGTACCCAAACAACTCACGCGACCGCATAAAGCTTGTAATTATTATGCAAGGTTGTGTTTATTATGCAAGGTTTCGTCTTACTTGTCAAACGCATGGTACGGTCGTTGCATATATAATTGCACAGCGATGTTATTCTGTTTTACGCGAAGATTTGGTTTCATTCGTGGTGCAGCATGGGCCTGTTGGTTTGTTTGATGTACTGTATGCACTCACGTTACGATAAAACGCCATATTTTTTTGGGGGGGGGATTGATGAAGTCGATGATGTAAATGAAGCAGTCTGCATTTTCTCATTTCACTCACGTCGTGCTTGCAACGAGGTCGATTTAAATTCAATTAATTCAATTTAAAAATTCAATTAATTTCTAACGAATTTACACATTCGCGCTTCGGTTTTTTTTCCCTGTGTGCAAATTTCTCCTCGTGGGTGTTTCACACCTCACCCCTCTCGCGCGAGCACATAGTGTGACCCAACCGCGTGACGTATACGGTTGCTGGGGGTTACCAGCAACATGGCGGCGTGCGGCAGTGACGCGCGCCACGCGCAGCATCACGTGGGTTAACGAACTCGCGCGCGTCACGCTGGAGATCAATTAACTGATACGCCTTAATTAATGATGAAGCTGCACTTAATTAATGATGAAGCTGCACCACGTCATCGCGATGAAAGCTTAGCTGGGGAAAGGAGAGGCACCGCCAACCAGTATTTAATGTGGAGTGGGGAGGGGCAAGGAGCTAAATATAACAAGGAGAGGCACCGCCAACCAGTATTTAATGTGGAGTGGGGAGGGGCAAGGAGCTAAATATAACAAGGAGAGGAAGCGCCGCCATATCTGGCCGAAACGTGGGTTCGGCAGAGACTCTAGAACAGATTAGTCTTCTATTGTCTCTGGGTTCGGTCTGCACAGCCGTTTCAGCTGATTATGGTCCATAGATGGCGCCCTTGAGGCGAAAACGGTCTGCACAGCCGTTTCAGCTGATTATGGTCCATAGATGGCACCCTTGAGAAGAAAAGCACACAGCCAATCTGCTTCCTCTCCTTGTTATATTTAGCATCTTGGGGGGGGGGAGAGATCATCATTCATATCCACCCTCCATCATTTCCCATTCCTCAGTCTACTTACTACAGCCAGCATTATATTTATACTTAACTTGGGCTCATAGGGTCTATGTCCCCCACTGCCGGAACGTACCCTGGGTACGGTCCGGTATACCAGAACGTACCCTTGTAACTATCTGATATGGTTAGGGTTAGGGTTAGGGTTAGGGACTGCAGCCAGCATCTCTGTAAGGCAAGCACGGGTGCCTTAGCGACGCAAAAGTATCTATCTATCTATCTGTATACTGTATAAGCCATATTTTTCGCGTACAGATATTTTCGCGAATTCAGACACAGACGGACAATTTCGCGAGTGGTTAATTTCGCCGTCGGTGAATTATGAATTATTCGGTAATAATTATCTGCGTCGGCGACACGAATTAATAATTATTTTCGCGGTCGGCGACACGTTCGCGAATTTCGCAAAAATTAAACCACCGCGAAATATACAGCTTATACCAGGGGTAGAAATTAACTTTTGAACTTTCCAACGGACTCCCTACCCTCAAAAAGAGGGAGTACGCAGCAAAATGAAGGAGTACGTAGTCTGAAGTTCAAAATTAAAGATATTAACAATAACGCATGTGCTTATTTTTAAGATTCATGCAGTTGCACGTCTGCCAAATTTTCTTTGGACATTAGCTGAAAAAATACAGTAATTCCGCGAGGCCGTGCTCCGGAACGAACTAGTTAGTATGGCAGAATATTCAGGGAGTCACACGGTCTCCTGCATATGTCAAATCAGGGAGTCCGACAGTAAATCAGGGAGTATTTGACTCCGGACTCCCGTTAATTTCGCACCCTGTTATACAGTATGCAGTGCTACGACCCCTGCTACACCCCGTGTTCCTTGTCTATATAATATCATAGTCTCTGTTGTAATGGGCACTGTGCCTGTGTCTGCTCTCCCTCCACTCGAGCCCTGTGACTCATCCATGCCTATACCCTTCTTTCTCTGTCATGTACCATGTGATTCATACTCTTCCTCCTCATCCTGCTCCTCCTTCTCCTATGTGCCCTGTGCCTCCCCCCTCTCCTCCTCCTCCTCCTCCTCCTCCTCCTCGTCTTGCTCCTCCCCTTCCTATGTGCCCTGTGCCTCCCTCCTCTCCTCCTCCCCACCTACCCTGTGCCTCCTCCTCCTCCTCCTCCTCCTCCTCCTCCTCCTCCTCATCCTGCTCCTCCCCTTCCTATGTGCCCTGTGCCTCCCCCCATCCTCCTCCTTCCTACACTTACCTTATGCCTCCTACTTCTCCTTCTCCCCTCCTCCCCTCTCTTCCACACACACACACTATGCCTCCTTCTGTAGTTCTCCTTGCCTCCTCCTCCTCCCCCTCTCCTCCTCCCCACCTACCCTGTGCCTCCTCCTCCTCCTCCTCCACCTCTCCTCTCTCCTCCTCCCCACCTACCCTGTGCCTCCTCCTCCTCCTCCTCCACCTCTCCTCTCTCCTCCTCCCCACCTACCCTGTGCCTCCTCCTCCTCCTCCTCCACCTCTCCTCTCTCCTCCTCCCCACCTACCCTGCGCCTCCTACTCCTCCTCCACC